ATATTATATATGATTTTAATCCTTTGATATTTACTGCTGTTGCTTTTGGGTCCAGGATATGACTTATCTTGGTGAATATTCCTTGTAAAATTGAAAACAATATGTTATACAGTTACAGTATTCTATAGATGTCAGCTAGGTCAAGTTGGTTAATAGTAGTTTCCAAACCTCTATAAATTAATAACTTTGTATGTGTGGTCCTCTCAATTCTTGAGATATGAATATTAGAATCTCTTATTATAATTGTGGATTTGTATATTTTTTCTCTTGGGCTATCAAATTTAGCTGTGTTTCAGATTTTCTTATTGGGTATGTATGTATTTGTGATTGTCATATATTCTTTTTTTTTTTCTTTGAAACAGGGTCTCACTATATAGTTCAGGCTGTCCTTGAATTCACTATGTAGCCCAGGCTGGCCTCAAATTCATCCTGCCTTAGCCACCCAACTGCTGGGATTACAGGAGTGCACCATCACACTTGGCTGCCAAACATTATTGAAGAATTGCTCTTTTCACTATTATAAAATGGTCCTCTTTATTTGTGATAATATTCTTTGTCTTGAAATCTACTTTCTTGTAGATGTAGCTACATAAACTTTGCAAAGATTAGTACTTGAATTATATATCTTTTTTCCATTTTTTTATGTTTTAAATTTCTTTTTTATTAATTTACTTTTAATATTAAGCTATAAATTATTTTTATATTTAAGAAGTACCCTTTAAAAATAGTACATATTAAAGTCTCACATTGAATCCAATCTGATGGTCTTCACCTTTTATTTGAAGTGCTTAATCCATTTACATTTACTATAACTATTGATATATTTGAGTTTAACTCTACCACACTGCTATTTATTTTCCATTTGTCCCATCTGTTTATTTTTTCTCATCTTCTCTTGTTATTTTTCAGGATTAATTAAACATTTTTAGTGTTAGATTTTTATCTTTTCAATTTGCTTTGTTAGCTATACTACTTTTTAAAGTGATTGCTTTGGATATACATCCGTAACATATCACAGTTAAACTTGAATTAATATTACACCATTTGGCAGTGTAATTTCTTTGCCCTCTTTTATTTGTGCTGTTGTCATATATTTTATTTCTACATATGCCATAAACTCAGTAATCAGTGTTATTTTTGTTTTGAACAATCACTTGTCTTTTAAAGATATATTTATTTGCCATTTTTTTATGTAGACACACACTTCCAAATAGTATCATTTCTATTTATCTTTTTGTTTTGCTACCAGGGATTAAACTCGGGTCCTTGTGCTTGTGAGGCAAGCAGTGGAACCACTGAGCTAAATCCCTGGCCCTATCTTTTTTTTTTTTAATCAGGCTTTTGCTTGTAGTCCAGGTTGGCCTCAAACTTGCCATGATCTTCCTGCCTCAGCCTCCCAACTAGTGGGATTACAGGTGTCCATTATCATGCTCAGCATTTCTATTATCTTGAAGAACTTTCTTTAACATTTCTTAAGGTGTTGGTGACAAATAGAGATCTCTAAGTTTTGTTTACTTCAAAATGTCTTTACAAACTTTCTTTTTGAAGGGTATTCTCCTTTGGTGCCGAGTTACAGTGTTTTTGCAGTTACTGTATGGTTAATGTGTTGTTCCATCATTACATATGCCAATACTTAACATTTTCCTATGTTGTTCCATTGTCTCCTAGCTTCTATTTCTTCTCATAAGAAATCAGCTGCCATATTTTACACTTTTCAAGAACCCATATTATCTCAACTTTTCTATATACATAGTTGATCACTTCTGTTTATCTGTCTGCAAATTCATTGATTCTTTTTTCCACATTGCCCAATATAATATTGGACAAAGTGACATACTTATAATAAAGTATGTCATTTTTTCAGATATCATATTTTTCACTGCAGAGCTGACTTCCATTTTGATTTGGTTTTAGACTCTCCATTTCTCACCTGAAATTACTTATCTCTTCACTCATTATGTCCATCTTTTTTTATAAATCCTCTGACATAGTTGTAATTATTACAGTCCTTCTCTAATCATAGTATCTGGACCATCTGGAATTCTGCTTCTAGTGACTTTCTTTTTCATATTTTTCTGCTTTACCATGTGCTTCATAATTTTTGTGATTCTGGACATGGTTTGTAAAAGGGCACCGGGGTGAGACATAATATATGTTTAGTTGTTTTTGTTCTTATTTTTTTGAAGAAGGATTTCTCTGTGCTGTTGGTGGGGGTTGGGGGGCTGGCCATTTAGATGTATCCTAGGGTCAGCTGTTCTAGGGCTTACTGAGCTTCAATAGATTGAGTTCACCCAACTTGGAACCCATGAGGTCAGCATTTGAGCTGGAAGGAACTTGAGTCACAGTTTCATTTAGCTTTTGGCTCACCTTTTGATTCATAGGTTTCAGAATCTAAGCTCTGAATGACAAAGACTGTACAAATCTCTCTTATTGCTATCTTCTCCACTTCCATGTTTTTGAATTTAGGTCCCTTTTAGACAGACCTACTTTTCCCAGGCTGCCCACACTTTCATCACAGACTGCATGTCCCAGTTCCTGTAGCCCCTGACCTAGGCAGATCTGTTTCTCCTGCACCTTTGCCCAGGGGAATGTTCCAGAAATCTTGGAAAGAAATACACAGAGACAAAGAATTCGGATAAAATAAAATTTATTCTCACGAGCATCCGCACCCTCTTTGTTCAGCATTTCCCTTTTTATATCTTTTTTAGCTATTATCTCATCCCTAGTGGTCTTTGATGTGTAAATCCAATTCCAGTTCCTGTTTAAGAGTCACAGACACAAGATAGGTACATATACATTGTAAATTCACCCTGGCATTGCAACTTTGTTAGGTTAATGAAGTTACTGGTTAAAGAGTCAGATAACCGTCACCTTAAACAAGGAGTTACGGGAAAAGCAAATCTTAAAAGAACACATGACTTATTTTGCTTCTACAACTACTTTAATATTCAATCTATTAAGTTATCTAAAACTTTTCCCTATCAGGAGCAGAAGATTTGGCTCTGCCAACCCAGGAAGGGCTCCTCATACTCTTCCATAATTCAGTTTATTAGGTTTTTTTTCAATGCATCTATCGTTTTTTGATGACCCATGGAGAAGTATGGTTTTAGTTTGATTTGGTTAATGCCATTGTTGTAATAGAAGCAAAATTCTTTCACATTCTTCTGCATTTTAACTGGAAGCAGAAATGTCACCTTAAAGACTTTTCAGCTTTGGGACTGAAAATATCTTACCTATGCCACAAACTCCAGAGATATAGCTCAACCTCTCTGAGTGGTTTTCTTAAAAAAGTTTTGTCACTTAACCTGAATTAAGGAGAAAGAGCCGCATGATCTGATGGAGAAACATCAAGTGTTCTAAAATTCTTTCCAAAGAAATTCCTGTTTTCCCTTTTCAACTTTCACTTATATATTCCAGGAGAGGGAATGAACTAAAGCCCATAAAATCTTTCAGAGGCCCATTGAAGCCTCAGAAGATGGAAAGACTTCCAGGAGAATATCCTGTTCCAGGAACATGGTGTACACAAAACTACAACTAGTTGGGCACTGATTCCCTGGAAAACTTAGCTTTTATTAAAGATAAAGAACTTTGTGTGGGATGTGTAATCCCAAGTAAGCAAAGTGAGGGAAAGGGGTGGGGGAGAGAGAGAGCAAGCAAGCAATGTAAGGCATGACCCTGCTATGCTGGCCATGAAGTCATGGCCAACCACATGGAGACACAATCTGCTACTTGGCAGGTTTACATAGGATGTCTTACCACCTGGAGAAATGTGGCTGCATAGAATGTCTCCAGGTGGGCAGGAAGAACAGACTCTACCTTGCAACTCTTATGGGAAAGAGGAAGGAGAAGTAAAGTTCACTGCCTTTGTTAATGGCCCCCACATCAGCAACCTTTCAGCAAGTCAGAGACAGATCCTTGCATGGAGATATATAGGCTGTCCTCATATTCCTGGCCCCAACATCTACTTAACCTCATAGTTTGCTACTTCCTCAGTCTCTCCAGCTCAACCACTTAGGCCTTCCTTCCAGTTCTTTGAAAGCATCATGTTTGTACTTCATCATGTTCCACCTGAAGCAAGTCCCCGATTTTCCTCTGGCCACCTTTTGCCCATCTGACATATGCCGGCTTTGATGTCCCAGCTTTAGGGTGGCTTCCCTAACATTTCTCGTTTCCCATAACCCATGGAGGTCCCCCTCTGATCACTCCCATTAGGTGGGCCATTTTTGCTGAATGTTCATCTCCCTGAGTAGCTCAAATATACCAGCAAATTATTCAGTGTATCATCAATGCCTAGCACCATGCCTAGCACCATGCCTAGCATGTACTAGATGCTTACTAAATTTCTTTGGGCCCTGTGTGGCATTGTCCTTGTTAGCCCATTAAAGAATCTCTCTTCTCTCCGGGGCTAATAGTCAAGATGTTAACATTTCTTCCATTGAGGAGTAACTATTGGTCAGCGTGATACTCAAACTTCCAGGCTGGGCTGGGCTTCAGCAGTTGGTCAGGGAGCTCCTGACTGCCACAGGGCTGCTTCACCCAGAGTACACCAGCATGAATGGTTCTTTCACTGACAGGTTTAAGTTCATGTGCCAAAGCAGAATGGAGTTGGAGCCCACACCACAAGTTGACTCACTGGAATTCTCTTAAGGACTCCCCCTTGGGTTGGTTTCTCATACCATTCTTAAGACAGGCCTGACACTGTTATCTATACCCCAAGGATACAGGACTCTATACCATGTCTCCTGGAGTTCTGCAGATTCTGATGCCCTGGGCTTCAGCTCAGTGCTGCTGGCACCTTGGGCCCTCCACAAAGTGGGCGGTGGGTGGAATATCAGCATCAGGAAATGGATGGTACATTTACAGCGGGAATTTCAAAGAGAGATTTTTTAAAGGCAGAGGGCAGTGCTTAGGGGGCTGCTAACCATCTAGGGCAAGGGAGGCTGAAGTTATAGGGACCTCCATTTCCACCCTCCATCCATCACTTTCCTCTCCACATGTGGGAATTTACCAGTTACTAAGCATATTTATTCTGAGATGGGGGGAGGGAAGCCAAAGGAGGGTGTGTGATCCCACCACATCCAAAGTGAGTTGGACTTGAACTCTCACCTGACCTCCAAAAGTCCTGACTCTGAGGCCCACAGTGGCATGTTGGTTCTCTGGGAGCCTGTATCTGAAACCCTAGTCCAGGTCACCTGGCAAATGGCTGCAGGTCCCTCTGGCAGAGGTTTTCATGGTGTTCACTGTGGCTGCATTGCAGGGTCTTCCTCAGAAGGACCTATTGCCTGTACAGCAGAGAGATCTTGAGCAGTGAGCTGCTTCAACCTGAGAATGAGATAGGATTGGCTGTGGATGTTCCTACAGTGCCGCAAGTTAGTTTTCCACCAGCAGACCTACTGTCAGGCCCATTTCTAGGGACCCTCTAGTCAATCAGGTTTTGCCACAGATCCCTGTGAGTCAAACATGTTTTTTTGTTTTTTTTTGTACCTGGGATCGAACTCGGGTCCTTGCATTTGTGAGGTAGGCCGTGGAACCACTGAGCTAAATCTCCGGCACTGAGTCAGACATCTAATTAGGTCTCCGTTCTAGTCTTATGGTGGTAGCTTGTTGCTGTCAATTAGGAGCTTCCATCTTCCCCTTCCCCTTGGGAATCACTACTCCCATTGTCCACTGCAGTACCCCATGATCATTTCTAGTCTACAGAGAATGCTGGAGAGCATCCCAGGATGATAAGGAATGGTTCATTCCTCTGTTCCTGTCTCCTTGAACCTTGGCCTCCTTTTGGCATGCTTTCCAAACTTAATATGCAAATAATCACCTGACAATCTTTCAAAAAGCATATTCTGACTCCTCAGATCTAGGAATCAGTCTGAGATTTTGCTTTTCTAACAACTTCTTAGGGAACAATGGGACTACTCATTGAGAAGCCAATCTTGCAGTGGGCTGGGAGTTTCTGACTTTTCTACCTCACAAACTGCTGCCTCTCAGTGAGTGCAGACTTCCCTTAAGCAGCCTGGCTGATGACTAATGCCCCTTCCAATGCCTGAAGCAACATACTAAACTCTGGTTTGTGTGCCCCTGGCAATGGACTTGTCCTTCTTCCTGGATCAATGCAACCAGAATCTACTTCTACACCTGCCCTTGGATATGACATGCTATTTTTTTTTTTTTATGGTACCGGGTATCGAACTCCGGTCCTTGGGCTTGGGAGGCCAGCGGTGGAATCACTGAGCTAAATCCCCGGCCCCAGTGGTATCTTTTTTGAATAAAGGCTGTATCATCCCAGAGCAGGTTGTTCTTACGCATCCATGCTTTCTTGACATCTGACCACCTGACACTCTTATGGCCTGTAGAGATGAGGCTTGTTGAAGGTAAAGCTTGATGCAGAGGGTGGCTGATTCTCTCAGAAGATAAGGGTGCTTTTATGGCAAAGGAAATTGGGGTCTTAAAGTTCTTGACCTTCCCTGTGTTTTCCCAAATGACTCCACCTGACTCACAAGCTAATCCTCCTTCCCCATGCACATTGTTCCTTTAATAGGTAGTGGTTTGTTTTAGTCAACTTGTCTAGGAGTTGCTTAGTCAAATACAAATCTAGGTATTGTAGGAATGGTTAACATCTACAACCAGTGGACTTTAAGAGAAGGACATGATCCTTGATAATCCATGTGAGCCTCATACAAACAGTTGAAAGGCCTGGAAAAGACGGCTAGGAGAAATATGAGTAAACATGCTTCTGGTGAGGATACAGGTGGAAATGAGGAATGCATTATTAGAAACTGGAAGAAAAGTTGCCTGTTACAAAGTGGCAGAAAATTAGACTGAATTATGTTCTACTGTTGAGTGGAAGGCAGAACCTGTGAGTGAGGGAGTTGGGTATTTAGCTGAGAACATTTCTTAGCAAAAGTTGCTAACATTTCTGCTAAAGTTGCAGACTGGTGTCTTCTCGCTGCTTATCATAAAATGTGAGAGGAAAGAGATAAAAGTAAGGAATATTTGTTTAGCAAAACAAACGAGCACTTAATTATTTGGGAGGCTCATGGGCTACTAAAGATGGTAAAATTAGGAAATCCATTTTGGAGAAACATGTCCTTAATAGAGGGTGAGGGTGTGCCTGGACAATCTTTTGCTGAAGAGATTAGGCTGAGTTATGAATCCACTCATTTGCTTCAGCATGAGCCTGAAGTAGGGATGGTATGTACAGGAAGATCTGAGGAGGACCCTCCTCACTTGCATAGGAGATTGACAGTTTTTGAGAAAGTTGTATCTGCACGGAGGGGACTGGTTTGGACTGAAAGGAACAGATGCAGGACAAAGTGAGGAGGACTGTCAGATTCCAAGATTCTTTAAGTAAGAAATTGGCTGGAGCTATTCTGTTCCACATGTGTACTACCCTTCAAGAAAAAGGGAGAATTGGCTGGGGATTTAGCTCAGTGGTTCCAGCGCCTGCCTGGCAAGCACAAGGTCCCGAGTTCGATCCCTGGTACCAAAAAAAAAAAAAAAAAACAACACACAAGAAAAAGGGAGAATAGCTTTGAGGAAAGTCTAGACCACTAGGGGCTCCATGGGCCCATGGGCCCAGAGGGTTGGGCATGGAGCACAGAAGTGTCTTGTCAGGCTTGAAACCCACTAGAATTTTCCCTGCTGCATTCAAACTCACCTGGGACGGGCAGCTTCTCTATTCCTTATTTCTCCCTTTGAGATGGAAACATCTATCCTGTGCATGTACCACCCTTGTAGCTTGGAAACAGATAACTTGTTCTAGTTTCCAAGTCTACAGATGAGGGATTTTGTCTCAGAATGAATCATACTCAGAACCTCACCCATACGGTCATCCCTTATTTGAGGGCTATTTCACAAGACACCCCCAGTGGATACCTGAAATTGAGGACAGTACCTACCTCTACATACATGCATGCATGCATACATACATACATGCATACATTTAATGCCTCTTCCTTCTTACCTAAGCATTTATCACACATAGTGGTGGTAAGCTTTGCAGTTCGAAGCGAAACAGCAAAACTAACACAGATTTTTTTTTCTTTCTCAATTTTACAGATAGATTTGTTCATAAACATAGATCTTAACAATCTTAGCATACAATTTTTTTTCTTATTGAAAACTTTCACCTTTTGAATTAAAGGAAGCACTTTACAGCTTCTTTTTGACATATCCAAATTGCCAACATCACTACTCTTGCACTTTGAGGCCATTATTAAGTAAAATAAGAAACAGAAACATTGTGATTCCCAATAGTTAATCCAATAACCGAGACAGCTAGTAGGTGACTAAAGGGTGGGGAGCATATTTAGCATGGAAACATTAGACAAAGGAGTTCGGGTAGTCTTAGGCAAGTTAGAGTGAGACAGTGAGAGATTTCACACTGCTCAGAATGATGTGCAATTTCAAACATATGAATTAAGTAATTCATATGTTGTAGGATTTTCTATTTAATATTTTCAGACAGCAGTTTACTGAGGGTAATTCAAACCATAGAAAGTAGAACTGCAGATAAGGGGAGACAACGGTACCTGATTTGATCATGAGCTTTGGGACTTTAGGGCTGAAAATATTCAGATGAGATTTCGAACTTAAGAGTTTATGTTGTCAAGACTAAGGACCTCCGAGATGCTGAGGAGCACAAGAGCCCTCTGTTGGCCTTGCTGCCCCTTTTCCATTCATGGTTAGTCCTAGCTCCAGTTTAGTCCCTCCCAGGCCCCTAGAGCTTCAAGATCTCCACTGTAGGATGCTGGGCATGGAATACTCTTGGGTGAAGCAGCTCCTGTCTTGTGTCCATGCACTGTACCCCTCACTCAGCCTGGTATGGGGGCACCCAGGCAGAGATTTATGCCCTGAGCCAACAGGCCAGATGCGGGGGTCCTCTATCAGCTGATCCTTTCCTCCTGGATCCTGAAGAGGAGCCACAAATCTTAGGACCCAGTATTCCTTCGAGAGATGCTCAATTTACCTATAGAAGATTCTGTTTCCTGACCTGTGGGCAGGCATCTGACTTGGGTTTGAGGCTTTGGCAGGGATGGGGATGGAGGGTCTCCTAGCTCAGCATGCAGGTGTTCCCATGAATCCCTCCAGCCCCCTCATTCTGTCTTCTGCTGCACCTGGTGTTCCTGAGCCAGGAGCCTGTCTGGGGCTATCCAACCCCAAATGCCCAAATGCCCAAATGCCCCAGGTCAGGGCGGTGGTGGGGAGCATTGGGATTCTGTTGCTCTGTATTCAGGCATATAAGCTCTCCTCTGGTACCCGCCATGGTTCCTCTTAACTGCAAGTGCTTAGCCTCTCCAACTTTCACTGTATGTAACATTTCCAGCCAGTTTCTTTGGTCTGTTAACACCCCCCACCCCGTGTCTTTGTCTGTGTGCCATGGTGGGGGAGGGGGGTATTTGTACCTTTTATTCCTTTTCAGCCATTTTCAGAGGTCTGAGTGGTAAAGTAGTCAGAGGCTGCTGCTGTTCTAGAGGAAGCCTCTGGGGCTTCTTATGTGCTAGGAAAGAGGTGTTTTGCCTGCTTCACCCCCCTCCCCGCTCCCGAAACATTCCTCCACTGGCTCTGCGTGGGATACTCAGAGCACCTCCTTAGTGCAGTGTTGCATCTGGCCCCTTCAAATCCTGGAGAGTGGGAAGGACAGTTGTTAAGAGCTCAGTAGGAAAGGCCAGGAACCTATCTCCATGTGCAGGTCGGACAAGTAGGCTTGTGGTGCATGGTCAGTCAGGCCAACCTAGGTTCTGCTGCTGCGATCTGTGTCCAAGAGTGTTGGCAGGTGGCTGCGTTCATTGACTTCCCTAAGAGGTGGACTCCCCCTTAGCCAAGGGGGTATATATGGCCAGGTGGATTCTAGCTCCTAAAATGTTGGCCCAGAAAGGACACAGGTCACTTTTCATTGGTCAAGCACATGAGGGAGTGGAATTTCGAAGGTGGTAGCAGTGGACCTGCTCTTCTTGCTGGAAGCAGCAGCAAGTCCCCTCTGGGAGATCATGGGAGTTGGAATGGCTGGCCTTGCGGCCTGGCCACAGGACAGAACCTCAGGAAGCAGAGGCTTCCAAAAGATAACTAAAAAAATGATTCTTCAGTGAGAAAATATTAGGCATAGGAAGCCAGCCACTACTCCAAGAGCTTCGTCTCAAATGCTGAGCGCTTTAGGCCCTTGGTCGCTTGTTGACCTTGTGAAGGGTCGGAAGTACTTGGAAGTCAAACCGCCCCTTAGGCCTTCCAGGTACAACGCAAAGGACTCACAGAATCCAGCTGTTAGTGATAACGCCCTTGTAGGATCTCAGCAAGACCAGGGCACCCTGGACGATCTGGGATTGTGGTTCCAGGTCAGGCCTGGGGGGCGGGTTCCCCGGAGTACTACGTTGGAAGAGGACTAACGACCGTGCCGAGTACGCGAAAGCGAGGACACAAAGCTCAGTGCTGCCACGAGCCCGGGCGCGCCCGTCCCTGTGTGTTCGCGAGGGGCCGAGCTCCGGCGCCAGGCTCCGCCCCGCCCCGCCCCCACCCGCTGGGGTGCAGCGCTCTGGCGCCGCCTGGCTGCCACCCGACAGGTTCCAGAGGAGTTGCTGCGAGTGGCTGGGCGTCGTAACCCAGGACCGAGAACGTGTCCGCGCGGCTGCTTCCCGCTGTCCTCATCCCAGACCCCGAGCCTGGACTCGCCAAGTGCAGAGCCGCAGGCCAAAGTTTGAGAATCGGCCAGCAGAAGTCAGCGCGAGGCTCTTTTCCACGAAGCCAGTGTGAGTGGCAAGGCCCAAGGGAACCCCCGAGTCACCGCGGGTCACTACACTCCGGCCGGGTGAGCCAGGTCTCCGCCGCAGTTCTTGGTAGATCCGTCCCTGTCTTCAGGACCTCGGCCTTTCGGAGCCTCCAGGAAGGGCGGTGAAGGAGGGAGATCGTCGTCAGTCCTCACTCGCTCTTGTCTTTACAGCCTAGTCGGCCCCACTACCCTCACGCCAGCGCGGTCCAGACCCCCTAATCTCCCGCAATCCCGGCACCAGCACCGCTCGGCGAGCCCCGCCCCTCCCCGCTCCGCCCCGTCCTGTCCTGACCCCCCCCTGTACTGGCTCCACCCTGACTCCTTCCTTACCCCTCCCGCCCGCCCGCCTCGCCCCTGGCTCTCAGTCCGCCGGGTGGGTTCGGCAGCCCGGCGAGCCAGATCTAAAGGTGGGCGCACAGCGATCGCGGCTAGTCCCTCGCGCTCCCGCCCCTACCCGGTCCCGCGGGCCGGCCATGCTCTGGGCTCCGGTCGCCGCGCGCACCCAGGCCCGGCGATGAGGAGTGGCGCCGAGCGCAGGGGCAGCAGCGCCGCGGCGCCCCCGGCCTCGCCGCCCGCCGGCCGCGCTCGCTCCTCCGGCCCCGACGCGTCCCCGGCCCTGCCGCCACCAGTCGCCGGCCAGCCCCGGGTCCGGGATGCAGGCGATGCCCGCGCGCAGCCGCGCCCCCTGTTTCCGTGGAGCAAGTGGAAGAAGAGGATGTCCATGTCCTCCATATCGGCGGCCACGACGCGGAAGCCGGTATTTGACGACAAAGAGGACGGTGAGTGGGGCAGCCCAGCGGGGACTCCTGGGGACAGCGTGGGGACTCCACACGGTCTCGAAGGGCGGCCGTAGAGGTAGCGTTTCTTTTTGTCGGGACATCAGCGGCTACCCGGATGGGACTGTGTCTTGGGGCATCTCGGTTCCGAGAAAACTCGCGGACCGCAGCCAAGATCCCTAGGTGCGTCCTGCCTTTCCAGTGACGGCGCCCCAGGCGAAGCAGGCTTTGGCCAACCCCGCAGGGGGAAGATCCGTGGTCTTGGCGGCTCCAGAGCTTAGGCGCAACGCCACCCACTGTCCAGAGCACCTTGTATTTTCATTTTCCTTTATGGGTAGTTAGGAGGTTCTGCCCTTACTTGCAATTCCAGGAGCGCTCACCTGTGGTGTGTGAGTTTGTGAAGTGAGATGCTTACCCCACAGGTGGTGTGTGGTGCCCTGTCCCCTCAGAGCTCTCCGTCTCTCCAGTGACTGCAGTACAGCCGACATGCCCAGCCTTTGCACTATTTTGTTCTGTGTAGCCAAGGCCTGGCCTTTGTGCAAAACCTGCCCTTTGGGGAACTATGAAGTCCTTCTGCAGGTAGAGCTGCCCACCTGGATGGCACGTGTATCTTGAGTGGCTGGCAAGGTGGGCGCTGGTGCAAAGTTGAGGAGGACAGGCAGCTGGCAGTGCAGGCACACTTCTTGGTCCTCTTTTGGACACTAGGAACCTTTAACTTAGCAGCTTCAGGGATTTGGCCATGCAGTGGGTGGCTTTGGGGTACTATGATACATTCACATGCAAACATATAGCTCTTTTTTACAGATGTCATGCAGATAGTTTTATATGGTACAATGATGACACATTTCATGCTTTTTGACATTTTCTTAAAATAGTTGAAATATGCATTTTCATTTGTAGGCAGCCTGCAGAGATATGATGGATTTTTTTTTTTATAGTTTTAGAGCACAGCTCTGTTAAGAGCCCAAGCTATTTATTTCCAATAAATAATTTAAGCATGGTAGGAAATTACAATAATAAGACCTGAGGCTAGTGTTGATGGGGCTGTGCAGGGGCACTCCTCACAGAGACAGCTGTGGGGAGCCTGGCTAGGAGATGCCAGGCCTCTGCCTACCATGGTCAGCAGGAAAGGTGCTTGCAGATCCTGTTTTATCAGACACAGTATGTTCTGGGGTGGCCTGTCATTGTGTTCTGAACTCCGAGAAAACAGGACTCACTGTGGTTCATGTTTTTTGTATTATGTTTTTGTTTTTAACATCAGTATTTAAAGTAAAAAAAAAAATGCCCAGAGTGAAGTAGCAGCTAATTAGAAAGTAGATTTGCATCTAGTTTCTGGCTGCAGAATGAGAAAAAGTCTGAGGAACACATCCGATTTCAGCACTTGCTAGTGTCAGCCAAGAGCTGACCACCCTTCCGTGTCTTAGCAGTGTGTCTCCAAGGCAGCAAATGTGGAAATAGAGAATGGATGGAGCACAGGAGCTGCCCCTGTCAGCATTTTAAGGTGGACTTTCTAGTTGTTCACAGCATGTTGTGCCTCAGAATTTGAGGACCATTTGAAAAACAAAAAGAACACAGAGTCTGTTAATGGTGTTCATCATCTGATTTTAGAAATATTTTATACATCTCCACCCCTTTATTTGGATGGCAGGGGTTCTAACGATTCTGGGGTTTTGTGGGGTGATTCACTGACACTGGCTTACAGGTGCTCTCTCTCTATGATGCATGACTGTCACTGGCTCATCACTGGGCATGGTACCCACATCCCCAGACTGAACAGAGTGCCAGGATTTAATGGGGCCTTGATGAGCCTGGGAGGCCATGCCTTGCCCTGGGCCTGGCAGCTGAGGATGTTCTATAGGTAGGTGACCAACCACTTCATTCCATTTTTCCACGTTGTTGGCAAGCACAAATAGCTTGAGAGTCACAGTGTGATGTTTGCTGAAATAAGGTCCTGTGCACTAAATGTAAAGGCCATAGGATTCATCTGTGTGGAACAGATGTAGTTTGGAAAGGGGGAAGGAGCATCATTCAGGAAGAGACTGTTTCTCCTTTCTCCCCATTTTAGTGTAGTAGTCAATTCCCTACTACTTTCCTGGCCCCACTGCAGAAGGGCTTAAAGAGGCAGCCGTGTCGTGCTGGTGACTTGCATGTACTGGCACTGCATAGTTGCCATGGTAATGTGCAACCTTCTGATGAATTTTTTAGATTAAAACACCTAATTAATATATCAAATTTGGTATACAGAGAAAAGGAAAAAGAAAATAGGAGGGCAATTTAACAAAGTACCAGGTAAATTTCAACTAAAAAGTATAGTTATAACATATAAGATCTTAAATTTTCTCCATTCTTGTTAATCTGTGTGGAATCCAGAGCTGTATTCCTTCTTTGGTAGGTATTTGGTACACATACAGAACACTTAGGGTTCCTTTCTCTTTCCCCTCAACCCTGCATTCTCCTGCTCTATCCCTTCTCTGACTTTAATGAGAAATTTGTTTTAGGATGTGAACTGATTAGCACTCCGAATCTCTCCTGCTGCTCTGCAGCAGTTTTGGGTGAGCCCCTCATTTCTTGCTGGTTTTGGATGAGCCTCTCATTTCTTGCTTCTTGGTGTCTCCATGAGACTGAGAGAAGCTCTGTAGCTGTAATGCTGTGGGGCACTGCCCATCTCACCAGGCGATGGATTGTCACCTCACACAAGCATCATTGGCTTACTGGTACGAGTGGTTAATCACCCAGAAAACTTGACTTTGCCCCAGAACACTGGCAGAAAGTCCTCGGAGGCTCTTGGGTGCCTCCAGAGTGCTGTTAGGTGGGGTGAGCACTGAGGTGCGATGGGGGCTTCCTGATTGTTAAATCATCACTTTTAAAGAAAACAAAATCCAAAAAACCCTTTGTTTTGGGAAGATTTGTAATTTGAGCACCGTGAGGTCTCCATAGTGAGTGTTTGGTGCTTCTCCTCACCTTTTAGGAATCTAGGAGTGTGGTCACACATACAACCATATAGAGACACACTTTCTTCTTTCCAGAAATAGGGTCATATCCTACGTACTGTTTTGTTATAACTTGTCTTTTTATTTAGCAATATGTCATCAACATATTACAGCTCTATAGCAATAGATAGTTGGCTAAATTTGTAACAGCAGTTCTCAGCCTGAGCTGTGTATCAATTCAATGGGCACTATTAAAAATGTCTGAGCCCTCCCTCAAGAAATTGTGATTGAATTTGTGGGGGGTGGGGTTGGTATAGGGGTAGGGCTCAGCATCTGCTCCTCTTTAAGCTCCCTTGTGATTTTGATGAACAGTCAGGGTGGAGAATCACAGTTTGGTGGCATCCCTCTGTGTAGCTGTAACAGTCTCTGTTAATTTCCTATTGGAGGTTATTGTAGTGTTTCCATTTTAAAAATATAAACTATTAGGCTATGAACATCTTTGCATATTCATCTTTGTGCACTTGGCATTGTTACCTTAGGAAGCATTTCCAGGAATGTCCTAGCTGGGTCAAAGGCATTCTTTTGAAGTATTGGGTGCATGTGGCTGGATCACTTAGAGGGGAATGGAGATGCAGGAAGAGAATGGAGTGAGCTCAGGAAGTATGCAATGAGTGTACAGCAGCTGTTTACAGTGAGCTCAGGGAGTATATAGTTAATATTCAGCAAGTATATATAATGAGTATATAGTAAGTATGTACGGTGAATACAGGGAATATTCACCAGGTGTATACAGTGAGTATACAGTGAGTATACAGTAGGTGTGTATAGTAAGCACAGTGGATATTCAGCGCATGTGTACAGTGAGTATACAGCTAGTGTGTACAGTGAGTTCAGAGTATCAGTGAGCATACAGATGCCATATACAGTAATCTTAGTGAGTATATTTATGTATGTATGTTTGAGTGAGGACAGGAAGCCCACGGGGCAGTGTTTCCTTGGCCTGGGTCCCACATGAGCAGAGAGCACTAGCAGACTGCATGTTCCAACTCTGCACAGTGCTGGCTGGAGGGGAGGTGCAAACCTATTGTTAGAGGAAACCTGGCACTTAACTACTAAGTTGCCATTTATTGGTTTGGCACCACAGCATTGTAAGTAGTGGTATATCTTTCACTCTGTTTTTGTTTCTGTGTTGCTGCTCTTAGTCTTTTCTCAGGCAGATCTTTTTACACATGTAATCAAAATATAGCTGGTATTCTGTGTCCTGCACCAGCACCTAGCAGCCTGAAACTTTGCCTCTAAATTGGACTATGGCATCTTTCTTCAGACTCCCATCTGAGACATGGTTGTGGGGCAGCCCCACCTACTTGGTTTCTGTGTCCCTTTGTTCCAGGGTCAGCTGCAGAAGGGGCTTATCTTCCCATTGGCCCACACACCTATGGGTGTTGATGGGGGTTCTGGTGTGTCAGGCAAGGCCTCCCTACAGGGGAGCCTGGATCCCAGGCCTCTTGAAATCTGCTAGTTTTCATCCTAAAGACCTGTACTCTGTGTCTCTGGTCTTGTTTCCTTCCTTATTAGGAAGTTTAGAATTGAATTTGGGGTTCACCTTAGCAAAGAGTCAAGCCTTCTACTTGTGCTATTTATCATTCCCATCTAGATTTTTCCTCCTCACCTAAAAGAATTGGTGAACTGTGTGATTTTATGCCCCTCCCTTCTTCTCCTCTCTGTGTAAAACTAGATGACAGTAACATTTGGGTAACCAGTGTTTCTCTCACTGACTAATATGCTGGCAAGTGGTGGACCTGGGTCTCCTTGGCCATCTCATGCTGGTGTGCAGCTTCCTCCGTTCTTACCACTGGTGGGTGTGAGCATGTCATCCTCATGCCTGGAGCTCCTCCAAGGTGTCTCCCTCCTGGCCAGGGTCTGGGCAAACACTGTCCCTCAAGAAGACTGGTGGAACCCCCAGGTGCTGAATGATTATAATGGTCAAAATTTCGGACAAATAGGAGAAGCTGTAAGTAATACATTATTATTATTTAAACATTAACATGCCTGTTTCATAAAAATGTAATTTTC